TAGGTCACGAAATAATGTAATCCACAGTCTTCTCTACGATTTCGTCTACAAAGTGGTTTAAACTAACTCTAAGAACCCCAGTGACACATAGATAGACAATTCTAGAACCCATAGGACACTATTATCCCTGTCCAATCATCATGGTAATTAATTTACCTCCTGTAAAGTTTTCTATCTAAATAACGCCTTGACTGTTGAAAGTCATTTGGCTGATTGTTCTCCTGGGTCCCTATAGATATAATTTAGTGTAGTCATACTGAAATAGAGCTCACGCAGTTGTGTGCTGGGTCAATTAGTTTTTAGTAGATGAGATAAATATGGGTGTTCACGGAAGGTATGACACAAGTCCTTTTACCCACAACTTCTATAGTATTTGTTATGCACAGACCGAAGTCAAACCGAAACACCAAACCAACCGTCCAAAATACGTGATATATTTCAGGATCAGAAAAGTAGCGGGATGATTGTTTAGCTAGCCAGGCATCATGCAGAGTCGACCAAATGTGACAACAGAGTGACATATGGTGCGGATGCTAGACAACTAACCTTCAGATTAAGGAGTCAACCTAAACAGTGATGGTTGGCACCCAATATTGAGTGACAAATGCTGCAGGCTAATCGTTTTGAAGAATTATTCACCTGTACGGGTTCATGTGGGTGTTACTGACGATCTAATAACAGGCTAAATTATCTGTCAAAGTTTCTATGCTACTTGGAGAGTTGTCACTCATTCTGCTAAAAACAGAACAGAAATTTCCACATTTCCTCGGATCATTGGGCAATTGCTATAAGAGCTAACAATGAACCGCACTTTTTTGTCAATGACTTTCTGTTCCTCTGCAAGTTTGTGACTCACCAATAGTCTTTTGATAAATTAATGTAACATCATATGCCCCACTGTCATGTGGAGTTAGATGGGTTCATCACAGTAATATGCTTATATTGTTGCCTACTTCTTTTCTCCATTCTAACCATAAGGATATTTCTGGGGAGCATCAGCATGAAGTAAACAAGAACTCAGGGATTTTTCCGGAAAATATCAGATCAGGTTTTCTGCAACCTGAATGGGTCTTTTATCTGAAAATTTTCGAAGAATTGAGAAACTATTATCAGAAAGTTTTCCATCTTTTCTTGTGTCACTCTAATATCCTTATAGAACTTCATCCTCCTGATAAGAAATCAGCAGTTTTCACGCCAAATACGCTCCCTGACAATAAGGCATCCCTTGATAAGGCGGGCACTGAATATCTGTCCCATCGAAAACTGGATCATTCCCGGGAGAACTCTAACCCTAAGATTATGCGCTGCATTTATTGTGTTCCGTATATTTATGCTACCTATTGAAGCTTCAGCGCACTGTATGGTTTGATAGCAACAAGTCTATTTGGTAAACTCGGCTTACAGCAATTCACTTACTTATGTGCCGACTCCCTTGTGCTCAGTATCATGTCTAAATAGTAGCAGGAATTCAGTTCTCCGATTTCTCCCTCAATCCATTGCACTGTTTCCGATTGACTTAGTGGGATATTAGGTGCATGGCAGAGCCACCTCGTAATATTTGTCATTGTATTTCACTTAACTCCGTACACAAATCTGTTTTTTTTTATCCTCTTACTGCTGTTTTCAACCACCTGCTTTCTGTGAAGACAGCATTCTAGTTGTAACTTATCAGCTGAACTTATCTCTATCTCTACTGAGTCACAGTTATCCAATCGAGATTCGAAGCCCGTACCCAGTGGCTTTTGAAACCACAGCTGAACGGCTCAAGTTCCAGTGGAATAAAGCTATATCCAACTGAAAAGCACCAAGTTGGATACCCATCAGCCCCAACGGGTTGATCTCTGATGAAATCTAAGTACGGATACAGAGGGCTAGTTTCGTATATGCCAGTTTACGCCGTCTCTGACGTAGACGTGATATCCGACTATCGACCAAAGGGGCGTGTGTACTGCTCATCAGTCCGCTCCGTCCTCCTTTATGGCTGTGAGACCTGGCCATTGAGAGTGGAAGACACGAAAAGATTAGCTGTCTTTGATAATAGGTGCCTGCGCTCTATCTCCCGTGTAAAGTGGTATAATAAGGTGAGCAATATTGAGGTTAGGCGTCTGAGTGCTAGGTAAGGCGGGGAAATCAGTCGACGAGAGTGTGAAATTACATCGACTGAGATGGTTAGGACATATGTTACGTATGCCTAGTCATCGCCTTCCTCGACAATGGGCAATGTTAGCTCATATGGGGCCAGACTGGAGAAGAGCTAGCGGCGGTCAAACCAAAACATGGCTTCATCAGTCAATGAAATCTACAACAGTTAGTCTAAGCCACGTAGGAAGGTGTAGACTTCCTGACTGGTTGGGGTCCTCGGGACGGTAAAAACCAATGGTTGGAAACGATTGGTGACATGGCTCAAAATCGTTCTCAATGGCTGGCGCAGATGCATCCACTCCTTGTGACTTATGATTTCCAATGAAACTGTTTTGTTCTTCGTTATTACTATTCCTTTGTCTCACACCTCTGTTTACTGTCTCTAATATGCATTTCTGCTACTTTCTTCTCTTCCTTTATGTGCTACATGGAGTGTGGCGACTTGAACTGCCGCACATATGTGCAAAGTTCTATGTCGAAAACCGACCGACCGACAGTAGGATACCATTGCTAGCCACTATCGAGCAGATGACAATTCTCGATGACTGAGAAAGTAGTCTGGTAGTGTTACTTTTAGCCCGCAACCAACCTTTCATAAAAATCAGTAGTATGTCTTTTCTTGTTTCAATAAATCATTTTCATTTCAAAAATATTTAATACATGAGATGAAATTAAATTTTCAAGAAAATAAGCTGAACAATAAGAAAGTATCGTATAGTTAATTTTCTCTAATATCATTATTAAGTTATCTCATAGGTGAATTATAATTGTCACATCGAACATGAAATAAATGAATCCAACAGACACACACACACACGAATGCATACAGATAGTTAATTCATCCGTGGATAATACGAGAAATTTGATATTAACTCTTCAATTGTTAAATCATTTGATTTCAAAGCATAACAACGACCTTGTTGACTAGCATTCTTGACAATTTGTACCGCCATCTGTGCAGAAACACGTTTGATATCAGTCAGCGGGGGGAATAAACGTCCCACAGCATAATCAGATTCTGATACTAAACTGGCAAGGGTCTAAAAAATGCAGAAAATCAAAAGAAAGAACGAGACAGAAAGTGAGCGGAAAAAACAACAAACAACTATATACTACTGATTCTTCCAAATGAGTAGTTGCATGTATACCACTCAAACCAACCAGATATCGAAATGATCTATGCACCAGTGGATTGTCGTTTTGCTCATTTGGAGTGAGCTCGTCAGCAACTGAGTACTCGATTTGACTTATCTCAGAGGACAAAATCAGTCGAAACCACCTGATTTCTTGTTGGCTGTTTGGGTGAACCAGTGACACTATATGTCGAATCCGCGATTTGCGATTTACCCAGTTCAAGGGGATTATTATTATTATATGCAATTATGCTAGCTTAAGTCATTAGTATTTATGGTATCAAGGAGATTATATAATATGTTATTATTATTATTGTTCCCTTGGGTTCCTAGTGGAACATAGGGCTTCAACTGCACGTCTCCACTTGTTTCTGTCTTCTGCTGTACTTTTCACCTGCATCCATGTTAGTCCATACTGTTTCAACTCCTCTTCACACGATCTCCTCCATGTCACCCTTGGATGTCCCACTCGCCGCTTCCTTCAGTTCACTCGAGCATGGCCTGACGTGCGATGTCACCCAGCGGCCTCCTCAGCGAGTGTCCAATCCATCTCCACTTTCTCCTGCATATTTGTTGAGCGATTGGTTCTTGTTTTGTTCGTTCCCATAGTTTCTTGTTGGTGATTCTTTCCGGGGCCATCTGATCTTCAGTATAGAGCGAAGACAGTTGTTGGCAAAGGTCCGCAACAGCTGTTGGAAATATTCTTTGTGACTCGCCAAGTTTCTGATCCGTATAGAAGAACTGACTGACTTGACGTTTGTATTGAAAATCCGAATTTTGTTGTTGATATTGAGTGACGAAGATTTCCAAATTGGTTTCAGGTTGATGAATGTATTTCTCGCCTTGCCGATTCTCTATTTGTAATCCTCGTCTGTTCCTCCTGTAGTTGAGACAATGCTCCCTAGATAAGTGAATGAAGTAACCTCTTTCAAATCCCTCCTCCTATTGGATGGTGATTGGCGCTGGATGTTGATGCTGCTATTGTTGTTGTTGGTTGGTTATTTTCATGACCTCCGTCTTGTCTATGTTCACCTGCAGTCCTGTCTTTGCTGCTTCTTCGACCAGTTTGTCGGTTTTCGCTTGTAAGTCTTCGATTTTGTGTGACATCAAACATAAATCATCCGCGAAATCCAGGTCTTCTAGATTCTCCACGTCGGTCCAGGATATCCCTGTCTTCTCGTTTCCCACTGTCTGACGTATAATCCACTCCACCACAATTAGGAATATCATTGGTGATAATCAGCACCCTTGTCTGACTCCTGTGTTTACTCCAAACGCCTCGCTGAGTTTTCCGTTGTGGATCACTTGACATGTGCCGTTGTCGTATAGCTGTTGAATAAGGTTGATGAATATTTGGGGTAGTACTCGAGTAGTTTCTAAATTACTTCGCGGTCAACGCTGTCGAAGGCCTTCTCAAAGTCTATAAAGTTGAGGTAGAGGTTTGATTGCCATTCCATGCTTTGTTCGATGATGATGCGTAGAGTTGCAATTTGATATAATATATGGTGACTTGAATAATTTCGCCTCCCAAAGGAAACTGTAGTGGTGTAAATTCCACCTCCTCGAATTGTGTAAATTGCAGATTAATTTTCAAATTGAGAATTTGACATATTTATGCAAATATAATTTGAAAACAGATCAGCTTTTATTTATCAGTAAAATTATACAGAAATGAAAGCATATGCATGTATGCATATTGATAGCGTGAAAGACGTGAAAATGAGATTCAATGGCTTAAGCACTCGACGACTTTTAGCCAGCTAATGAGTCTCAGTTGTGAATCTCACTCCATTTCTACTACAGTCTGAGTAAATGGACAGTATCTCATAGACTCTGACACAATAAGAAGTATAGCTCATAGATGTGACATAAATGATACGTATGTATGTATGTAAGTGGTAGAATGCTCACCAACTATGCTTGTGCACCGGGTTCGACTCCCGGCCAGTGCATTCCTAAACCTCACCTAGACCATAGGAAATCTGACAGGGAAGGAGTACTGGGCGTGAGACTAGCAATCGAGCCCCATAAAGTCAAAAGTTTCAGCTGAAGTTTGAGGACCTATGTAGTACTCGAAACACAAAAGGATCACCAGCTAGAGGACACCTTGGAATCTTTCAAAATTATTAACCGACAATATAATAATAATAATAATTCAATTCTCCTGAAATTTGCCGAAGCAGTTGATATCATACATGTTTAAAGCAGTTATCAGTTTATCGTGGGAGCGAACCAACAAGGAACCGATTGTGAAACAAATAAGCAGGAAGAAATGGAGATGGATTGGCCATACTCTGAGGAAACCATCAAGTGACATCACTAGACAAGCCATCGCTCGAGTGGAACCCGAAAGGGAAGCGGCGAGTTGGTTGTCAGTGCGAGGGTGACTTGGAGGAGGTCATGTGAAGACTCTAGCAGAGAACCGAACGCAATGGAGACGCACGGCTGAAGCCCTATGTTCCTCTAGGAATTAAAGGAAACAATAATAATATAATAATCTATCCTTGCTCAAGATAACTCGATATTGTAACTCTTCTTTGATTATTTGATTACATAACCTCTCGCTTTAAGTTAACTTGCAGTCAATAAGGTCCAAGTCTTCAGTCTCGATCCCCCTACTTCAACCTGCGGAAGCGGGCAGTATCACAGGATCAGACACAATAAACATGGCTAATTGGCTTATGTACACGAAATATCTGCCCAATGTAGCAGAGTTCGAACAGCGCGCAAAACGATTCATTGATTTTCAAATGTTGGTTAATAGGGATTTGACTGGTTACAGGTTTAGTCACGAGCTGACATATATATTTCGAATCGGCAGATTTTGGAATTCATGGAACATTCAATCCGGTTCCAATTACTGAATGATCTACGCGCTGGCCCTGTAAACAACAGGTAATAGAATCGAACTCCGACGGGTGGGTACCGCCGAAGAGTCTCAAGAGCCTATAACACGCAGAGTTGTGATGGATGAATATGAGTGTCTACTGAACATGGGAGACCACAGAGGGTGAATGCATCTGAGGCTTTGAGAAAGACTCTGAGCCATAAAAGCAATTGTCTGCAGTCACTGGTACTCAGCAAGACAAGGACCCCCAACCAGGCAACAGTCTGCACCTCCCTACATGGCCTAAACCAACCGTCAAACGCTACATAGACTCACCTCAAAGTTCTGATTTTACCACTCCTGATACTCATAAATACTACTACAACCAATTCGGCATTAAAACAACCAGTAAACTCGATTAACTAGTACGGTGTTTTTGACGCACAATGACTGCCATCTACCAGTTACACGACATTGAAAAGTCCTCTTATGGTCCGAAGCAATGTTTGAATGTGAGACCTCTCGCCACGTGGTTGACGAGCATTCTACCATTGAAAGATAGAGGAAAATGTGAGACACACTAGGTAAAAAATAACATCTTGTAGGTTTCAGACTATGTGTGGACAAAATAGGGGTCACCATTTAGTTGAGTGTAGCCCTCTTGAGATACCGGCTTATTCATGTGCTACCAATGTCATCCTAGAGGCTCTCATACCTTCACTTTTCGCCAGCCCTAAGAATATATAAAAAAGCGGATAGTTGGTAATTCTGTGACACGGCACCGAGGGATGAAGAATATTTGTGTTAAGTTAGCATCCACTGACACATCAAGCTCCTTGGGTAGGGTCAAAGAGATAATTAGAATCGATGTGTCGATATGTCATCAGATATGACCAAGAGTAGCAATCAACGGTGAATATGCTGCAAGTTCTTCCTTCCCGCCTTTTTCTGAAAGTGACATGAAGTAATCAAGTGATAAATGATTTTGATTAGTGGGCTTATTCGGCTTTCTGGATATACTCCCTCATTCATTCTTCCTCTTTTTTCTTGATGAATGCTTGTTTCACTTTTGTGTGGAGGACTTCTTCGTGCCTATAATGTACCAATGCTCTCTGTGACAGTAACAGTAATACTAACAATAATAGCGATAATAATAGAAACATTGAATCACATTTTCAGAACTAAAACGAGTGACGTTTTCCTGCAAGAAACTGTTCAGCCAGAACGTGAGAGACAAGCTGTCGCATTGGGCCACCTCAACGTGCATATACCAGTTTACTTGCTCTTGTGGAGCTGAGTACATCGGCCGTACCATGCGCCGACTTGAAAAACGCGCTCGCGAACACTACCCAGCCTGGCTAGTAAAAGGAGACCAAAAACGTGTATACAGTTCAGTGACAGAACATCTGGTCAACTCAGGACATTCAGCGCCTTTCGAAAAATCCTTCAAAGTAATATATACAAGATTCAATCAAACCTATCAAAGGGAGTAAAATCAAGACATCTGGGCATAGCTGAGGCGTTAGCTATCCAAAAGCTCAAACCCACTCTTTGTATCCAAAAGAAATACGTCCAACCCCTGTCCCTGCCATGGCCATCATAAACAGGTAAATTTTTTTTAGTATTGACCATCCCATCGCCTTCCTTATCTATACTTCCTGTTTATTCATGTTATTTTAAGTTTTTCTTAATCCCTGTCTACACTACCATATTTTCATATCCACACTTCCTGTTTATTTTGTCATTTTACTATTTCTACATATTTAATCCCTGATTGTATAAACAATTATTCATCACACTAGTTTTTTATCCAAACATCCTGTATATTTTGTTATTTTTACATTTCTAACCCCCAATTGCACAATGTCAATCTTCTTAGTTATTATGCTACTTTGTTTGAGTTTTATCCGCCCCCTGTTTATTATGGCATTCTAATTCCTAATTGTAATTTTTATTAATTTGACCCTTAACCGGAAATTATTCTGGAACTTTCCCATCCATTTGATACAAATACACGAATGTACAGCCTAGATGATGACTTCGTCGAAAAGAAAATTTTCTTCGCTGCAACTGTCTTTTTATTCCCTATGATCAAATGTGTATATTCCGTGATTTGAAAACTAAAATATTCAAAATAAAATAAAGACAAAATTATGTTGTAACATAGCTTACTTGAGCAGCAATCAGAAAATCTTCATTAGTTACAGGAAATATTTTTCCACTGACTATTGCTAAAGCAACACTTGGAAATATATACGAATTATTTGCTTGTCCTGGACACCGCGTTATTGAAGCTTTCAATTGAGGATATTGTTCAGGTGTTAAAGTAAGCGATGGAAATGGACTACCACTGGCAAATACACATCTACCCTGAAAAAAAAACAACAGAAAATAGTTACATGTGAATGAAAGATACTGTTACGATGGGGTAAGTGTCTTTGTAAGCCAATGAAGTCAGTCGTGATTTATGCATGTACCAACATCACTATCTGATTGGACAATTCTGATTCGTTGATTTATGGCTTAATTTTCTGAGGAATCTCGAAGTCATGCAACCAATCAGATTTGCATTATTTATGGTTTAAATTTCTGAAGGTTTGTAAATATAATATACATCGCGTTTTTCGTCTAATGAGGGTTTTTGTTGTTCTGGTCGTCGTTTTTCCCAGTCTGAGTTTGTGTTTATCTCAATGTGGAAGATAGATTCAAGTTATCAGATAGTTATAATTTCGTGTTTTGGAGGCTCACTCTAGTGAAATTAGACAGGCACATACAACCCAGAACCACTCCGTTACTGACAGAGAATGTAAGTAAAATCATACAGTTCAACATACAAAAAATTTCAGAAGAGTTTATCAAAATAGTCCAGTACAACGATGTAGTTATATATCCATGGTGAATAGTTTAATTACAAATCTCTCCGTATTGCATTCCTTAACGACACTTTAAGCACAAACTTACTTCAAGAGGAAGTAAGCTTTTAGAAATCGCCAAGAAGTTTTTGGCCATCACCCTTAATCATCTTGGATGTGACTGGTTGTTTACGGGATGAATTTTACTCATTCCCTTATTATTTTAATTTTATCACAGCTTGACTCCACACAGTATTTTGGTACAAGTATGGAATTTTCAGCATGTGTTATCGGTAGCCCAAATTTAGCAGGCCGACCATTGATATCAGGTGTGTTGGCCGGGGATCGAACCCCGGGCCATGTGCGTGTGCGAACGTCCTAACCGCTGCCAATAACGCACATTGCATTGGTAGTGAGTATTTTGTTGATCTTCAGTTCATGTTTGATAACCATGTTTGTAACCAGGTAAATTTAAAGTCCTTTCCTGTAAAATTGTAATGACAATATCCAGAAAGTTATAAAATGATAAATGCAGCTCAACAACTACACAACATTACATGCACTGTTCTATGCATGACATTTGGTGTATGAATACCTGATTGCTTAAACCACATTAGACGAAAAGTTCGGTTCAAACCCGTAATTAATTGACAGTAGTTAAATCCTTGAGTCCATGAGATCTATACATTGTAAAATGTAGCCAACAAAAAGCCATGAATTCACGTTTCACTGTTTGATGACACCCATCAACAAAGCTTTCACCACAGCGATATTCCTAAAAAGGATCATATTTCCTCTCTCCGTCTCTTGCCCTCTAAATGACCAGCATAATGATGAGTCTGACCAGCGTGTTCACTGTAGAACTCTAAGCAAAAGTGCTACACAGGTGAATTTGAAGTTAGAAATTACAGGTTATTGTACTCCATCACATGTCAAAATGGTCCACGGGCTCGCCATGCAACCTGAAGGTCTTTCGATCGATCCCGTGACAGCTGTGTCATGGGTGAGTACTGCCGAGTAGTCCAATACTCCCTGATTTTTAATAGTTTTCTAACAGTTTTAGATAAGATTTTGTTGGCGCTTCAGATTCGCGTTGCTTGCAGTTGACTAAGTTGTCTTACTAGTAAATATCAATCTAATTTATTCATCACTCAGAAGCAACTAATGGTAATCATTTCTTAGTAGTAAGCCAATTTTATTATCATGGTGTACTTATGGGTCAATGGGATTAACATAAATTCATCGATTGCTGTTTTATGTTCGCCAGTAGTTGTCAGCAATCCGTATCTTTAATCGCATAAGGGACTTATGACAATTTAAAGACGAGAACTAGCAGTAGCAAGAGTCAGTACATTGAATTAAGCATTGAAATACCATGTCACACCGATTGACTTTTGTAGTTCCACAGTTGTTTTTTAGCTAGTAGAATATTCACCGACGATGCTACAAGTGGTCCGTGGTTCGACTACCGGTCCATGGATGAACTCCTAAACCTCGATTACCCCGTAGTAGGCCCAGAAAAGAAAGGGATGGTTGGGCTAGCTTGAGGTTAGCAACCCCACCACGTGAAAATAAACCCACAATGTTACTAAAAATTTAAAGGTGATAAAGGAGAATGATGCTCGGGAGGACTTCGAATGCTTTTGAAAGTGTTTGACCGGTTGTTACTTCCCGGTCGCCTACACCATGGAAGTTAATTGATTCTTCGGGTACTTCTGCATGACCGAAGAGACCCGGAGATAACTGCTTGAGGCCTGTCAAACACGGTCTGTATGAACTAGTTTCTTAGACTGCTTCCGTATTAGTAACTTACCGCCGGTTACAGACCACCGTAGATAATGTAAGTCGGGATGTACACCTTTCGGGGTCGGCATTTTCTAATCCTCTCTCTCCAGAGTGGAGAGACAGAATAGGTGGCTGGTATGCTGGTTGTCTGAGGGGAACACCTTACTGCTCTTACATCACTGTTCCCCAGCAGTACGACTTCGCCCACAGATCCCAAGCATAAGGTAAAACAAAATTCTTACACTATCCCGGTAACTGCTTTCAGTCTGATCGCTATCCTAACAATCTTCCTGGTGTGGTGTGACCTACAGGAACAAAACTTCCAGTCAGTGCAGCTTGTTGGGTCACTGCGATATACCAGCCCGACCACAACACCAAGGTAGCAGATATCCGTCAGGAGACTTTAAAGCACAAACTAGAAGCTATAGGTCTATATTCACCTGATAAATCATTCATCACAAGAGAAATGTGTGAGAAGAAACAGGTGAAAGGTGAATCAATCGTATGTGAACAGGTGAAACAATGAATTGTATAAATAAATACGTGATTATATTAACTTTTTTTAACAGTGACATCGGTGTCCTTAAAAATGAATATATTATTAACACATAGAATAACAACATCATGAAAAATAAAAACATGAACAGTATGAATATTTTTGGATTATATATATATATATATATATATATATATATGCAATGATGCTTACTTAAACCTTTGCACCACAAAGAACAAATGTTAAAAGGATTAAATATAGACAAATATAGATCAATTATCAAGCATTGCTTTTCAGGGATTTCATTCGTTATATGTTTGATCACAAGTTGACATCAGTCATCAAACCAGTGGAAAACTTCTGAGTGCTGGACAGCTGTCTCGACCTAGTCCGGGACTCTTCACCAGATAACTCACCCACCGGAACAATCGCGAGCCCGAATAGCGCAGTGGTAACGTCTCTGACTGCAGCACTGGGTGACGCAGGTTCGAATTTCAGAAGGGACATGAGTTCCTTCAAGGTTGCAGATACGCCTTGCTGACAAGTGCCAACTAGGACGAAACCTAGGTCCAAATCTTCCCGCCGATTGCCTCCAACCATCTAATATCATCAAATAAGGAACTCTGCTAAGCAAAGCAACAGCTAACAGCAAATATTCAAAGGAAACAGAAGTAAGTGGACCGGACATACACCAACCAAGCATACAGACCTTCAAGTGTTACCACACACCAGTAAAGTCCTCGAGTAGAACCCGAATGAGAAGTGGTCAGATGAGCGTCGGCTTCGAGGCAAAGATGGAGAAGATCGTGTCAACAGCCAACTTGGATCATGAAGAACTAATAGGTATAATAACTGACTAAGTGTTGTCAATCAAATTTAAAATTTTATTACTAGAAACTCTCACTAGTAAACCTGCATATATATATATATATATAAATATTAAACTGAAAAACGCCACAGAACAATAATCAAATATAAGTGCATAAGTGCAAGCAAAATATAAACTCATACGAAGAATACAGAAAAAACAAAATAAACAAAAATTAATGACATAAAATTTTATTTATCTCAGGGTGTCACAGCGAGTGAAGCAAATTTCTTCTTCTTGACAATACTGACATGAAAAAAAATAAAAGAAGACAATTGCTTACATGTGTATACAGATAGGCTTCTTCAGCGGTGCACTCTGCTTTCAGTGTTGGATTACTCAATGCCATAATAACTGGTTTCTCGTTCATTTCAGCCATTAGATTTAAAATATGCTCATCAAAGACTTTTGGTATAGCAGCAGCACCAATTAACGATGTACACTTTGAATACTTGATAATCTAAATACAATATAAAAATGATATAACTATACAAAAAAATTCATATAATATGAAGACTAGTTCAATTTATTTTTAAAATAAACCATTCCAATTTTTAAGTGTTGGAGTGTGTTGACCACACTTCACTTATTTGGAGAGTTGCATCAGCCAGTCCCAGCCGGTTGATCTCTGACGAAATCTCAGCATGGGTACAGAAGGCTCGTTTGCCATATGCTCGCCAAATTACGCCATCTCTGGCGTAGATGTGATATCCGGCTGTCGACCAAAGGACGTGTGTACTGCCCGGCAGTTCAATCTGTCCTCCTTTAATGCTGGCTGGCTGGCTGTGAGACATGGCCATTGAAAGTGGAAGACATGAGGAGGCCGGCTAGCTGTCTTTGATCATGGGTGTCTGAGTTCTATCTCCTGTGTCAGATGGTGGTATAATAAGGTGAGTAATATTGAGGTTAGGCATCAGTTGAGTGCTAGGTAGGTAAGGAGGGGAAATCAATAGACGACGTTGTGAAGGTACACCGATTGAGGTGGTTAGAACATGTGTTACGCATTCCTATCCTAGCCATCGCCTTCCTTAACGGGTAATGTTAGCTGACGCAGGAAAAAGAGCTAGTGGTGGTCAAACCAAAACATGACTTCATCAGTCAATGAAATCTACAACAGTTAGTTTAAGCCAGCCAGCCAGCCACGTAGGGAGGTGTAGACTTCCTGTCTACCTGGTTGGGTTCCTTGGGATCGTAAAAACCAATGAAGACTGGAGACAATTGGAGACATGTTTCAAAATCGTTCGCATTGGCTGGCGTAGATGCATTCACTCTTTGTCATTTATAATATCCAACAAAATTCTATTGTTCTTCCATATTACTATTCTTGTTGCCTCACTTACACTTCTCTTTTGAATCTCTCTTTACTCTCTTCTTTTGATTTGTATGCTACAAGGAGGGAGTGTGGCAACTCGAACTGGTGCACATCTGTGAAACGTTCTAATTTGAAACCAATCGGTTAGTCAATTTTTAAGTGATCGCGTGCTAACCTCATAAGCGAAAGATCCTAGGCCAGTATAAATTTTTATTCCTTTACGTTCCCAGTGGAAAATAGGGTCTCAGACAAGATCTTTAAAGTTTCGGTAGCAATGGTTTTATTTTTTAAAGTAGAGTGGTTATCAGTCTCACTTCACCCCAACCTTCCCTCTTTATTGGCCTTATATTCGGCTTAGTGAGGTTAAGGAATGTGTCGGTCGGGGATCGAACCCGAGACAATGTGGGTGGCTAGCAAGCATTCTACAGCTGAACCACTGGCGCATAACTCTATAGACTGAGATATAGTGGAGGAGATTTGTAGCTCAGGTGGATGATTCTAGTAGCTAATAGTTTAGTTGTGAAGCTTTAATTGTCTCTTTGTAAACAACATCCACAGCACATACTTCAATTTCAAGTAAGCTTTTAAAATTCTTCACGAGTTTATCAGTCACCTATCCTGGTAACCATAATTTCGACTGACTGGTTGTTTTTGTTTTATTTCCCCACCCTCTTGTATTGATTATTTCCTTGACCCGAAAGTTGACTTGTTGTCTATGTCATATTCACCTGAATACTAGGATTCTAGAAATTCTCCGGCAATTTTAGAGTTTTCTCTGTCTAGGATTTGTACATTTTCTTAATCGAATTGATGTCCATGGTTTTCTGCATGCATTGATGTTAGGAAGTAGATATCGTGTCTTTAGACGGCTGGTTAATGTCTACGGACGTCCATTCTGACTTATTTTTCCACAGTTGTTACAAATTATCTTGTAGATAATGTTGGCTATATCGTCTTTCGCTGTTGTGCTTTTGGTTGACATAGAGCCGAATGAAGTGAATTTTTTGATTTGTAGGCGATATCCATTCCAAAAAGTATGAATAATCTTGTAGTGATTTCGGAGATGTTCTTCAATATATGCTTTAAGCAAAGTAATCGTTAATTTCCAACAGGCTTTTCAGTTTATAATACCAGCATTAAGGCTCCATCGCTAGAAGTTGAACCTAGAGCTTGCAGGTCACGAATCAAGTCCATTGACCATCACCTAGCAACTAGGACGCAATACAACTAATCACTAATTCTAACTTCTGAAAATTCGTGCAAACACCAGTCAGTGTTGTCGATGAGCATCTACTTTGACACACAAATTGGTGAAGCCAACTGTTCCCGACTTCTGACTTGAAAGTTACTGTAATATGATGGAGAAGATTTGTAGCTCAGGTGGGTGATTTTGATATGGTTGTGTTCTCCGAGCTGGATAGTTAATTTATGAAGATACTTACCCTCAAGTCAACCTATCAAACCAAAAGCCCCCAAGGAAAGCACAAACAAAATCGCCTTACCATATATAAAGGATATCTCAGAAATGACTGCAAGACTCTTCAAACCTTTAGGAATTGACGTCGCACACAAACCAAAAAAATCACTTCACTCAGCTCTATGTCAAACAAAAGACTCAACAACGAAAGAAGATAAAACCAACATCATCTACAAGATAAATTGTAACAACTGCGAAAAACACTACATTGGCCAAAGTGGACGTCCCCTTCGTCTTCGTATCCATGAAAATAAGCTAGTCGTCAAAAGACATGACATCCACTCCCTCATATCACTACATACAGACAACCACGGACATCAATTCGACTGGGACAACGTTCAAATATTAGACAGAGGAAACAACAAGAATGCTAGAGAATTTTTAGAAGTCTGCCTGGTATTCCAGTGAATCATCAATCAATAGACACATCGAGGTAGACAAAATTTATCAACCGATAAGGAAGAAACCTCACACACAAAGGGTCAAAGTTCAAGTCGAAGAAACAATCAGTTCCAGTACAAGTAACCTAGAAGGTGTGAAGACGCACAAAACAACCAATCACGCCCAAGGTCACCAGGAGAGTTGACTAATAGTGAACTCATGGAGAAATCTAAAAGCTCAGTTTAAATTGAAGTATACGCTGGAGATGTCGCCTAGTAGGGCGATGAAAACTTCGCAAATTAACCGCCCAGCTCAGAGAACACAACCGCATCAAAAGTTACTGTAATGCTTACTACTGATTACCTACTACAGAATGAAAGTCCTGGAGTCGCACAGCGAGGAATTGTAACCAGTGGAATCTACCAAATCAGGTGTAAGGACATGTTCTCTCCGATGACGTTGCCACTACATATAGTGAATTGGGTGATATTAGAATACACAGGTCAATGAATTCCAATCAACCAAGTTGAATCGTTAACCGGTTTGCCACGTAAGTAGAAGGTCTCAGGTCCAATCTATGATGAAGTCATAGATTAGTACTGTTGGCATATCTCAAACTAGAACAAAACCACTGCTCAATACAACCTGGTCATCAATGTTTCTCTAATTGAATGTGAGTTCGTCAGCTACTTTAGGCATACATAACACTAATTTGAACAATTCACTTCATTTTGATGTAATAGCTGAATCTGAATATGCTGTTTATGAAGACAACGAAACTTTCACGATTAAATCATCTAGGTCAGATAATACAATAATAGAAAAGAGAGAAGGGGGTGGGGCGGGACACGGTGTAAGACTAGCAACCTCATCATCCAGCAGAAAAGTGCAACACCACCCCGGTGTCGTAACTTCAAAACTCGAAATCCTGTTCAGAAATGTAAATTTAAAAAACAACCCTATATATATAAACATCACTTACTTCTGCTAGCGATGTTAATTCCGGTGTTCCAGATGGACGAGCAAACTGGAGTTTATGACTATTGATACCACCAGATTTACGACCTTCAACAATTAGACCTTTACTGTCAATCAGGTAGATATGCTGACGTGCTTCTTCCATTGTTAAACCATAGCATTTATTCAACGCTAAACAAACTAGGTGGGCAAAGCCAAGATTTGCTTCCCCAGCACCATAACAGACAATGCTTTCCTCTGTCAATTTACGACCAGTTAACTTTAATGAAGCTAGCAATGCAGCTAATACGACAGATGCTGTACCCTAAAAATAATAATAAAGGAAAGAGAATTGTTGAATAATGAAATATCGAGACAAAAAAAATACACATTATTTCACTATGAAAGGCAAAGAATTCCATTCAGCTGTCTACCTGACTGAGTTTCACACCAAAAAGAATTTCCACAGAAGTTCAATTTGCCACATTTGATGTATTACACAAAGGTAGACAAAATGGAGGCGAAAAAGAGATTAAAAAGGAGTATGATAAATAGAAATGTGAGAGAGAAGGAATGATTATTATTATTCCCTTGGGTTCCGATTGGAATGTACGGCTTTAACAACACATCTCCATTTCGCCCTACTTTCTGCTGTCCTCTTCAGCTGGTTGAAGCCAAGTTTGACCATAATCTCTCATCTCCTACTCCAACTTACACGATTTCCTCCATATCACTCGCGCAAAGACAACCCACTCGCTGATTCCCATTCTAATGCAACTCCAGTGATGGCCTGCAGTGAGAGCAATGTTATTCGACTTCCTCTTCAACGTATGCCCAATCAATCCATCTCCATTTTCTCCTACATATCTGTTGAGCAACTGGCTCTCACCTGTTGGTTTGTTCCCAGCCACAGTTGCTTCTTGCTAATTCTTTCACCGCTAACGGTATCAAACTAAGAAGAGACAGCTGTTCAGTGTTCTAACTAACATTCGATCGTGACAAAATCTACCTTGTAATCACCTAATTATCAAATATTAGACAGAGGAAACACCAAGAATGCTAGAGAATTTTTAGAAGCCTGGCCTGGTGTTCCAATGAATCATCAATCAATAGACACATTGACTAAGACAAAATTTACCAATCGATAAGAAGGAAATCTCATACACAAAGAGTCAAACTTCCCGTCAAGGGAACAATCAGTACGAATACAAGTATAGACTAAGGGTTGCGAAAACAGACAGAAGCAACCAATCACGTTCAAAGTCACCTACGAGGAGAGCTGACTAATAGTGAACACATGGAGAAATCTAAAAGCTCACCTCAATTCAAATTGAAGTATGCGTTGAAGATGTTGCCTAGTAGAGCAATGAAAGCTTCGCAAATAAACCATCCGGTGCTCAGAGAACACAACAACATCAAGGACATAATTATCAAGCATTATATTATTGATAGTCATGTCAATTCATGAATAATACCCATCCAAGTATTTACGAAAGTAATAAAAAACCAAGTCGTTCAACGGAGAGGTTCTTTTCGATTGATTTCAATTTCCTCAGCTATACAATGGCATCTATGTACAATTTCTCACGAAAGAAGTTAGTAAGGAAAGAGATGAACTGTCATAGGCATAGCAATACGCAAGAGAATTTCAGTAAGGGTGATAGAGTTATGTAATGAGGTTATTATTTAATGAATTAGTTTCCATAGCGAAGCTTTCGTCTTCCATGTGGACGACGACATCTTCAGCGCAAGTTTTAGTATAAAATGAACTCATTTGAATTCTCCATGAGTGATATAATTGTGTCGCCTGGCAACCATCCAGAAGGATGACGAAAGCTTCACAAATTACACCAACCAACTCAGAGAACGCAACTAATTCAAAGTCATCCGCCTGAGCTACAAATCTTCTCTATTATTTCAATAACTAGTTTCAATTAATAATATCATTTGCAGACAAAGGGATGGGTCCAACTGTTTCGAGGCAAGCCTAAATAACGTTCCGAATTAAAGTCTACAATCAATCAATAATTTTCAGCTGTATACAAGATATGTGGACGTCATTTTTGTTGTTTATGACAGTAAATGTGGCCTTAATCAGTTGTTACCTGGACATCCAATGATAAAATTCACTCATGAAATGGAAAACGAATGTAAAATTCATATTCTCGATGTTGTACTAACAAGAGGACCCAATGGAAGGTTTGTATGTAGGAAATCTACATGGAAACTATCAACTGATATGTTTCTATAGCTGGGGTTGCCAATTGATCGAAAACGAAATTTAACTATAACCACTTAGCTCTTGTTTTCGAAGTATTCACGATCCTGACATTATTCTAGAAAAAGAGTTAAACCTTTCGAGGGGAATTTTCATCCAAAATGGATATTCACTAAGATTTACTGACAAGAACATAAAAACGAAAATGTAAAGACATGATTTGCAATTAGTTGTGTTCTCTGAGCTGGTTGGTTTAATTGCAGAGCTTTCGTCGTCCTCCTGGACAACATCTACAGCTCAGCGGAAGTTTTAGCATAAAATGAACTGATTTAAATTCTCCATGAATGATAGAATTGTGTCTCCTGGTAACCATCTTCGGGACTGGTAGCCGATTTACACCTGTATTGATCAGTTTTTATTGCCTTGGATTTTGAACTTAGTCATCACATGATTTACTTCTTATTAGTTGGTAGATTTGGTCTATATTAACGTGTTTGTTATTCGCTGATCGCTTGATACCAGGCTTCTAGGAATTCTCTGGCATTACTTTTCGTGTTTCCTCTGTTTAAAATTTCGACATTATCCCAATCATCAAATTGATGTCCATAATTATCTACATGCATTGATATGAAAGAATATATATCATGTCTTTTTACAGCTAATTTGTGTTCTTGGATTCTGATTCGAAGGAGACGCCCACTTTCATCGATGCAATGTCTGTTACAGTTCATACACACAATTTATTTTGCAAATAGTATTAATTTTATCTCCTTTTTCTGTTAGATGGGTCTTTTGGTTTGCACAATATCGACAAATGAAGTGATTGCACTGGCTGGCTGGCTGGCTTGTGTGCTATATCTATATCAAACGGTTTCAGTATTCTAGCTGTTATTTCAGAGATATTTCTCATGTATGGTAGAATGAATTTTCTTGTGGTCTTTGATGATGGTTTCTTGTTGGTGTTTTGATTCGACTTTAAACACTTTTTGATGAAATTTTGAGGATATCCATTCTTTTTGAAGACTGTTTGTAGGTACTTTTCTTCCATTCTTTTCAACTCTGGAGTGCTACAATGTGTTTGAACTCTTTTAAACAATGTCTGTACACAGTTTCGTTTGTGAGTAATTGGATTATTGCTAGTATAGTTGAGTATTTGGTCTGTGTGCGTTGATTATACACAGATATGCCTTTCAAAAGGAAAATGTTTGCAGAAATGCTAACAGCAGTGTTCTCCAGTCACCCAACTAGTCTACAGAAGCATGAAAGACAGGACCTGGTCTGTGACTACTTACATATATGCTGATGCAAAGTGATTACTGTAGAAAAGAAACACCAATAATAATGACGACTAATGTGAATCGTAAAGTATAGTCGGTATAGCAAATTGTGCAGTACTCTTACGATACTTTTAGTCTTGTCGTCCGAAAGATTAGAAATTTCATTTAAACCATAATGACTTTCAATGGAAAATTAGATTACACTTTCCACAAAATACAAACTGAGCACCTTTTGGAAGACCTCTCTTGCTTTGATCCAACATGTGATTAGCTAGTTGAAATATGGAGGTGTAGTTATGAGTTGGCGCGTGAACACCATCTCTGGATTCCTTTGCATTCCATGTGGAAAATAGGCCTTTAGGGTTTAAAGATCTTAGTAACGATGAGGTTACTAGCCTCACACTCACTCAACCTCCAGGCTAACTACCAGTTGGATGAGAGTGAATCGGTCGAGAATCGAGCTCACACCTTCCACATGTGTGGTTGGAGAGCAGTGCATCATTGAACCACGACCACCGACGGAGGATTTAAACAACCATATCTCTTTCAAACTGAATTCCGAATTAAATACATGAATGAATGAATGAAAAATCTGTTCAAAAATTGAAATCAATCACTGTTGTAGTGATTAGAAAATGAATAGATATAGGGTTAGCTATATATATATGATAATAACAATAATATTGACATTATTATAACATACAGACACACACACACACACAGACGCATTGACTTACTTGGATATCATCGTTAAATGTACTATAGATGGGTGCATATTTTTGTAATAATCGAAAAGCATTATGATTTGCAAAATCTTCAAATTGTATCAGGACATGTTGACCGAATCTAAATAAAATATATGTATGTATGTATGCGTATCGTATCGTATACAAGGCAAAATGTAAGATAAATTAGAATAAATATCTTGAATACAATGAACAGTATTACTATTATTATTTTATTACAGGATTTTAACCTATGTTGTCTACTTTATAAATAAAATTTAATTTCGTTTATTGACAAATCCTCATCTTGTACAACGATCTCTTCAGCATGTATCCGATTTGTCTCCATCTTCCTCTACATATCTGTCAGGTGATAGGTTCATGGTTGATTTGGTGATAAAGTTCCTTGTTCCTAATCCTTCTATGCCGGCCATTTGATCATGAGTATCTGCAGAAGGCAGAGCTGTTGATGCAAGAATGCAGTAGCCTGCTGAAAATGCTTTTTGTAGCCCAAGTTAGAGCATTGAATGGCCTGACATTAGTGTTGAAACTCCGAACTTTGTTGCTTATCCGGAGAGCAGTGGATTTCTATGACGGTCTGTCTTCGTTTACCAATCCTGCCCTTGATATCCTCATCCGTATGGTTGCCAGTAGTTGAGATGATGCTGTCTAGGTAACTTCCTTCATATTTCTCTCGTTGATAGGGATTAGTCCTTGTTGTTGTTGTTGCTGTTGCTACTGGATGGGTATTCTCATCATCTCTGTCCTCACCCACTGCTAACTTCGCTGCCACTTCTTTGTCGAATAGTATATTGTGACTCCAATATGGATAAAATTTTATTTGGAAAAATCACACTGTGTTAGCGTACAGTAATATTTACTCATGACCACGTTTCAAGCAGAAATTATTACTGCTCATAATCATATAATAATAATAATAATAATAATAATAATAGTATATTCTCATTTTTGTACATGAGGGACGCCAGTTCGATAAATTACACATACGATTAGTAAGTATAGTTAGTAATGATAATATAATAGGGTAAATATTTATTCATACAAATATAGGACACACAAGTTGTATAGGAATGGATAAGAATTATTTAATTTACATATTTAAATTACATGGATTACGGTTTAATAACATGGTTGTTGTCATTTTATCTTTAGTTTGTGGGGAAAATCGGATAACTGGTGATTCAATGGAACACACCAACAAATATAGAGATACTGACTTCGCATTACAGGCACTACTCACATAACTTTCTTGCTTCATTGATACACATGAGTAAAATTGATTAGACATTTGAATGAAATCAGTAATATAAGATAAAGTACATTCGTAAATAATATTAGTACTAGAGAAAAGCTCTGTAGGCTGAAGGACCCGGTGGACCCAATTAAATAAAATAATATAGTTTACCAAATACCTTCCAATGACTATCAGTTAGGTCAACTACATAAGCCAGTTAGACTTGTAGAAAAGGAGCAGTAGGATTATCAGAACATAAGAATTTAGCTGAGGTTAGAATGATTGACCACACCCACGAAGATAAGTAGTTTAGGAAAAACGCTCAGCACTGCATTGCACTGCATGCATTAAAATACAACCATACAATAGGGTTGGTGGAACACAGTCAAAATTCTAAAAAGTAATACAGGTAGGTGAGTGGAGAGCGAGAGAGATTGATTACTGAATCCTGCCTGGTTCATCGAGTCTACACCCAACACATGCAACAGAACTGACTCAACACAAATACAAGAGGTATGCATGGAAGATATTATTACCACCAGTCAAATCAGAGGATAATAAATAATGTAAAAATGTATTCAATTCACACACTATAGCATTCTAACAAGTTACTTATTTATTTTGCTATGAAAACATCTCAATTCCCATCTGATTGTATTTTATTGATAACACTAATATTATTTCCGAATGTACTTTATCTTATATTGATTTTATTCAAATGTCTAATCATCAATTTTACTCATGTATATAAATGAAGCAAGAAAGTTGTGTGAGTAGTGCCTTGATATGATTATGAGTAGTAATAATTTGTGCTCGAAACGTGCACTGTACGCTAACACGGTGTGATTTGTCAAAATTTTATCCCTAATGGAGTTATACTCTACCACCACAGTTCCCAAGTTTTATACTTATACCAGTAGATTATTAGTTGTTAATCCTTGGGTTCTGAATGGAATATATGGCTTCAGAGGCATATCTCCATTCCCCTCACTCCTTTACCATGACTTTCAATTGGCTACACGACTGGTCAGAAACTTTCATTTCATCATCTCCGCACATAATCACTTCAATATTACCCTCAACCAACCCGTCGCTTCTTCGTTCGAGACCCATCTGATGACCTAACTGACTTATGATGTTAACCAACAGATTTCACAGCGTATGTCGAATCCACCTCGATTTGCTTCTGCATATTCATTTGTCACAGGTTTTTGCTTGCCAGAGTTCCTTTTCGCCTATTCTTTCTACCCGGCCATATGATCTTAAGTATTGAGGCAGCGAAGGCAGATGTTGATCAGAGCCCCCATTAGCCTGTTGTAAATGTCTGTGTGACGTCACCTCTGAACCATTTAGAAGTACTGACTAACTTGATAATATTAGTGTTGGAAATTCAAATCTTGTTCCCTACGCTGTATACTGCCGGTCTGCATATTAACTTCAGAGTAAGGAATATTCACCTTGCTTTGCCAATCCTAACTGGCTTTAAAGTCATCATTCCCGTTGTCTATAGTTCAACTGATGCTGTCGAGGTAAGTGAATGACACGACTTCCACTTAGATTTCTTCCATTGATAGTATTCGGTGTTAGTTGTTGATAGTCAGGTATCTTCATCACTCGTGTGTTATCTATGTTCACTTCAAAATCCTATCTTCTCTGCCTTCTCTATCGATTTCTTGATTCTTTTGCTTTTCGCGTTTGTATAACGTGAGATATAAATCACCAGAGAAGTCCAGACCCACAATCCTTTTGTCGCCTATCTTCTCCCTTCCCCTGGTCCGTCACATGATCCATTTCGAGTGGAAGAATGACTAACGTGTTAAACTGTCAAAGAAGGACAACTTAAGCGTAATCCAGAACTAGTGCAACATCATGTTCTTCTACCCCCAATCCAAGAAACTATTGAGCCGTATCATCCTGAAAAGACTAAACGATGGGCTAGATGGACAAATTCGTTCGCAACAGGTCGAATCCAGTAAAAACCTGTAGGCTGATTACAATCTGGAACTAAACATTTCAAAATAGGACTACCCAAATAACAATATTATTTTAATATACACTCAGAAAACAAAACTGAACCTATATCACCTTCATCGAAACAAAACAATATGCACTAGACTAGACTAGAATAGACAAGACTAATGAACTTGAATGACACTTGACATAAAACTCTAACTGTAACCACAACTAAAATAGTAACATTAGATAACATTAAACTGTTCGATTTACAACACGACCAAAACAATACTAGAATGCAGAATTATTTAGGTTACATAGAAGTCATACAAATACAGACGCCGTCGACGGTAATCACCAGAACGATACAATTTTGACCACGAATTGATATCACGAATTGGTAGAAGTCAGAATTCATGGGCCATTAGATTGGCTCCTAGCGGCTGAATGGTTTATGAGCTTGACTTGCTACCATAAGGTCCTAGGTTCGAATCCCAGTGGGTAAGTACTGTCAATGAGCCCCAAAACGAAGACCAGGCGACTGTCCACTGCTTCCAGATGGTTTTCAATGGTTCTCCCACTGATATTAATTCATGGTCAGACTTAAAACACATCAAATCCCTATATAAGTTAACTCTTGACAATTTTGTTCCCCGTGAATCTTTGAATTCACTATTCCGACCTCCGTCTCTATCTAGGTAATTCCACTTTTCTCAAAAGAACGGTTACTAAACAAAGAATACTCTTTTCGATAACCTGCTCTTCATTAGGTTCTACAGTTATATACACATAATAGTGATCCTAAAAAGTACGTCTACAATTGTAGTAGTGTTGAACTAAATAAGGTGTAATTCGAAGTATTTTCCTTTGTCCTTAGACTTTGCGATAGACTGAAACGAGTTAATCACTTAGATACTGGTATTGAATGTGAAAACCTATTTAGTCAGACAAGGGATCCAGTTTCATCATTCACCCGGAAACTAGAATGCTTCAAATCCAGTCTAGTGGATTGTTGTTATCAGTACAAAAACACCAAATAAGACAGTAAAAGTTTCTTGACAAAGGAACACAGAGAAGAACTAAAGAAACTGATAAATGATGGGAAACTGATAATCTCAAAGCCTGATAAAGGATCAGGAGTAGTCCTCCTTGAAAGAAGTGACTATATTGAAAAGATGAATGATATATTGAAGGACAAACAGAAGTTTCAAAAACTTGAGAAGAAGAAACATTTCAATAAAAGAATAGAGAACGAATTAACCAGACGTTTGAAGAAACTAAGGAAGGAACAGATATTTTCTGAAAGTTTATATAAAGAGGCCAAGCCAACGGGCATGTACACGCGAAGATTATATGGTCTACCTAAAGTGCATAAACCGGGGTACCATTAAGACCAATACTTGATATGCAAAATTCGCCTTACCATGCTCTAGCTAGAAGGTTAGTAAATATTCTCAAACCTTTGCATGAGAAGATAGTGAAATATAGCGTCAAAGACGTATTTGAATTCGTAGACAAATCAAAGATATTCATATCAAGGACAAAACCATGATATCTTCGAAAATAACATCTTTATTTACAAATGTACCTCTAGTAGAAACAGTTAACTACACATGTAAACAAGTGGATAACCAGTCAGTGAATATTGGCATCCCAACGGAAATCCTAAAAGAATTGTTATTAAGGTGTGCCATGAACGTAAATTTCAGATTTGATGGCACACTCTACAGACAAGTGGATGGGATGGCGATGGGCTCCCCATTTAGTCCCATTTTGGCTGATTTCTTTCTAAGTAAACTAGAAAATGGACCTTTGAACAACCTTATCAGAAAATTATGATTTAATTGCCGGTATATGGATGACACCTTTACTCTTCGTGATAAGGATTGGGATAGGAACACAATAATAACTGA